CAAAATATAAATAAAATGCTCGCATGTCAGGACAATTGCTCGAAATCTATCAACAAGGTGTTAGTCGTAGCAGCGTCAGAAAGCTTATGCATATTGCAATCCAAACGATGATTGTCCACACTCTTTCTAAATATCGGGTGGATATCGCCAGCTTATCGGAGGTCCGTTCTCCTCATTTCAGATCTGGAGTAATTATGCCTGCCTCAAGTCAGAGCTGTTGGCTATATCACTGTGGTATTCTGATAATTCAGGACGAAATGGCGTAATGACTGACATGACATCTGAAAAAATTCACTCTCATCAAAGTTCACTCAATTCTCATTGGTGAAATCGGTAAACGATTGCATGGCGTATGATCGTTTTTAGGGAAATTGTGCAATATCTCCATCAGTGTATATGCTCCAATATTACCTGTAGTGATCGCCGTGATAAGAACAAGTTCTATGCGAAACTTCAATGCCAATTCATTGTTAATATCACTGCTGAAACATGTCGTGATCATAATGGGAAGAGACCGTAATGCGTCGGCAGGTCATGATGCCGCTAAAATAAACTCGGCTACTGGGAGTTATGGCATCGGAATCCGATATACCAATGAGGAGGGACTCCTTCCTTTGCTGAAAAGCATGAATTTTTTGTTAATAATCACCCTTGTAACCTTCAAAAACTCTGTTAAGAATCTCAACACTTCAAGAACCACGCCATTCATCCTTGTAATACATATAATCTATTTCATTGCTTCATTCGCACTAAAACCTATTTTAATCACCTTCGATCATTTTATTGAATAAATATATAAGTCTACTGTTAGTGCAAAGTAAAGTTATATATAAAAAGTTGCACTCAATTTCAAACTTTGAAAATGTGGTGAAAAGGTTTCTTTTAATTTTTAGAAATGGAATTGCGATTTAGAACGCGAGGCTGATAAAGTGGTAGATAAATGTTTAGTGGAAACTCACTATCTAAACGAAGGTTTCCGGCAGAGCGTATATGCAAAAATAGCTTACTATGCACAGAATGACAATTTAAATGCAGGTTAAGTGATCTTTATAACTGCAAATATCTTTGATCTCCCTATTTGCTTGCAGATTCGTTAAGGTACAAATACCTTAACTGACTACATTGACCGTTATCTATCTATCTACTATATTTGATGTATATTTTTAAATTAATAGCAGTAGAAATGGAAATCGGGGAATTTTTGATGCGCACATTAATAATTTAACAAATTTGTAAGAAAAACCAAAGAAGGTATTCATGGTGCAGATTTCAGATAAAAATTATGACCAAAGAACTATTGTCAAATCGGAAAAAGTTGAATTTTCAACTCTCATGAAGGTGAATATTCACCTCGAAATTTTTATTTTATTAAACTATTATTATTATTAAAAAATGAAAAACTAATTAAACTAATCTATGTATGGCAATGAAAATAAATTTTTGGTTTGAATATAATATTATATTTATTAATATAATATTTATTTTAAAAAATTCTGCCAAAAAACAATAAATATTGAATAATATGGAATTTTTTTAATGCTATCAAATTTCATTTTTGCGATGTTATTTTTGTTTCTTAATTGTTAATTTTTAGGAGGATTGGAATAAAACAAGGAACTTTGGCTGTGCAAAAAAACTTTGTTTTAATAAATTTTCCCGAATCGATTTAACTATTTGCTTCTACAAGTTGAGGTTTGATGAAAAATATTGCATTTATTTATTGCATTTTTCGTTAAACATAACAAATCAACGAAATGAATCGCGGCAAATAAATTGCACGAAAATTTTCCTTCTCAAGAATTTAGAGTTTGATTGGAATTTGAACTGTTAATTGGAATTTTAGAGAAGCGCCTGCAAAATCGCGGTATGCGATGAAATCTTCGAGCGGACAAAATCTTCCTCTGCAACTGAAATATGATTTGGAAAATGCGACATTCTCATCTGAGTAATTTTATTTCCAATATAAGATAATTTTTAAAAACTGGAAACAATTTTAGAAGATTTCAGTCTATTTATAATTTAATTGCTGATAAATATTAGGCAAGAACCAAGTACAAACACCTCAACGCAAAATAATACTGTAGAAATGTCCACTTTGGACGTAAATTCTTCGGCATCACAATTTGAATCATTCGACAGTGATTCCTCAGAAAGCGAGTCAGTAGAAATGGAAACAGTCTCAACATATCAGCCAACAACGATGGAGACAGTCTCAACGCATGAGACAACAAGGCTCGCCGACACCATGCAAGCAACACTTGGTTAATTATTATAACAATTAATTTTTCCATGAAGAAAAGGAACAAATTATATAAATTAATGCAATAATGATGAAATAACGTTAAATTGCGAAAAACTGCGCTAATTCTTCCATTCTTTAGGATGCTCAAAATCGAACATTACTGTTAAAGTGCAGGAAAGAGTTCTTGCGCGTCATAAAACATATAGGTCAACACTTGAATATGTCATCGCAAAAATGCATGGATATCTGCCGGATGAAAGAAGAGAATTGGTGATTTTTTCAACAAATAATTTGCCAATTATTATTTGATAGAACTAAAGGAAGAAAGCTGATAAATGATAAGTGAACATAGTTTCGAATTATCTTTTTGCAAAGGAGTTAAAAAATGCTTTCGACATAATTTTTGAAGCATTTAGAAATGGAATTGTTCTTTGGAAGAATCAGCACAACTTTGGGCAAACGATTGCTCGTGGGCACATTCCAGCGCCGCTTTAGAGAACAAAATTGG